GGCTTTCTGGTGGTTTATTGGAGACAAGAGTCTCACAGAGTTTCCTGCCCGGGCTGGCTTTGAACCGCGATCCTCAGATCTCAGCCTCCTGAGTAGCTAGGATTACAGGCGTGAGCCACCGATGCCCAGCTTGGTAGCACCTTTTTAAAAACTGTTTTCAATGATTATAAAAGTGACCTACAGAGGGATTACATTTGCGAATGTCAGGCCAAGGGCACACTTGTTCTTGGACACTGCCCTCCTTTTCTATCTCTCCCCGTTTTTCCCTCCCATTGCCACTCACAAGTTGTGTAGATCATTTTCAACAGTGTCTAGTGGGTGCCACTGCTGCATTTGTTTACCCTTTGTCCCTCCATTTCTGTTTCCACTCAGTAGCATGCTTTTTTTTTTTTTTTTTTTTGGTCATCACAGGCTTGAACTCAGGGTCTGGGCCCTGTCTCTGAGCTTTTGTGCCTCAAGGCTAGCGCTCTACCACTTTGAGCCACAGCTCCACTTCCTGTTTACTGGTGGTTAATTGAAAGTAAGAGTCTCAAGGACTTTGCTGCCCAGGCTGGCTTTGAACCAGCTCAGACCTCAGGAGGCCACTAGGATCACAGGCATGAGCCACCAGCTCCTGGCTTGGTATCATCTAAACTAACTTCCTAGCCTTGTTGGACTGGGGTAGGTGGATCCTGTGATGGAGCTTGTTGGGAGTTTTACGTACTATCGGGATCAGAAGCCTCATTCTATCCTTTGGGTTACAACCATGCCATCGATAAGGGTTACTCACTAAACCTACTTTTGCATGCATGTGCTCTACCCACAAATGCAAATAAACATCCTGTCTGTGAACAGGCTGGTTGGTGAGCTACAGCTGTGGCACATGTGATTGTCCCAGGCCTTTCTGCTAGAGCAGGTGTGAGACAGCCCCAGGTTACCTGCATTGAGTCACCTTGAACCTCCTGGGCTCTGGGGCTCTGACCGCACAGTCCTAGGATCCAGGTCCAGGCTGTGTGGGCCTTCACCCAAGACTGTGTTACCTACTCCTGGCCACAGATGGGCAGATGGTTTAGATTGGGGGTTTCAAACAAATTCAGAACACTCTGGGGTTCAGGCATTTGGTCCATGAGGTGTTCTATTCTAATTCTGGGATGGGCTGCCCCATAGTGGAAGGTATCATTGCAGTAAGTTTCCTGCATGCTGTTTGTTCTGGAAAGGCTCTGTGGCATCATGGGACTGTTGGGAGCATTCTGTGCACACACACACACAATGTTTAAGAATCCCTCCCAGGACCTGAGGAAGCCAGCTGCACACTGCTGCCTCCGTGGCGCCTCTGTGGCACGTGGCAGAGATGAGAGCCATCAACATTTCCTCTTTTTTTGGGGGGGGTCCGGTCATGGGGCCTGAACTCTGGGCCTGGGCACTGTCCCTCAGCTCTTCAGCTCAAAGCTAGCGCTCTACCACTTGAGCCACAGCGCCACTTCCGGCTTTTTTCTTTTTGCTTATGTGGTGCTAAGGAATCGAACCCAGGGCCTTGAGCATGCAAAGTAAGTGCTCTACCACTGAGCCACCTTCCCAGCCCCAACATTTCCTCTTTTTAAAAATGCTTTTTAGTTTTTCCTTTCAGTACGGAGAATAAAACCTGTGGCCTCACACATGCTAGACAACTGCTGTGCCACTGAGCCACGCTCCCACCACTACCAGCCTTTTGTGAAGTCTGTGCTTATGGCTTTCAGTACCAGGGATCTTCTCTACCTCCCATATAAACTTGAAACCGAGCAGGATGGAATATTAGTGAGCACACATCAACAGTGACCAATGGGTAGCAGGTTTTAAGATCTGATTTTTTTTTTTTAGTTACAAGAGAACTTTATTGGGATGTGATTTGTCTAATATTGGGAAATAATTTGGTTCCCTTGGAGACTGTGCTGTGCAGCAAATTGGAGGCTTTCAGGACATTAAGGACAGTTCCCGAGGTTTGCAGCTGAGGCCAGAGGTCATTGATGTTCCAAAGGTCAAGTGAAGGCAGACCAGGAGAGAGTAGAGCCGATGGATTTGGGGCTGGTGTTCTGGAAGGAAGCATCAAGGTAACTGATGAGGGGAGGGGTGCCAGACGGTGGCAGTGACCTTGACAGGGAGAGGGTCAGCTTCCCTAGATGATGGCCGCAGAGCGGCACGGAGGGAGGACACGACCCTCTCTAGAGCCCTGGGCATTCCACCTGCAAGGCTGGCGCTTGCCTACAGCCTTGTCTAAAGTTCATGGATTTCCCTCCTTCCTGTTCTGAATCCTGCTTCATCCTCCTCACTCGGGTGACTGTCCATCTGTCTCAGTCTGTTGGTTGGGACTACCATAACAAAATACCATAGAAAGAGCAGGCTGTCGGTGACAGCAGCAGCCCATGCCCAGAGCCTGGAGCCTGGAAAGTTCAGTTCCAAGGTGGTGGCAGACTTGATGTCTGGTGAGTGTGCCCCTTGTAGGGTAGACCGTCTTCCCACCATAAGCTTCGTGTGGTGGAAGAGACAAATCTCTGGGGTCTCATAAATAAGGAAGCTAGCTAGGTGCAGTAGCCTATGCCGTAATTCTAGCTACTTGGAGGAGGAGATCAAGGAATCATGGTTCAAGGCCAGCCCAGGCATAAAGCTTTGAGACTCCTGATCTCAGTCAGTGCCTGGGAGCAGTGGTGCAGGTCTGCCTCTCCCGTGTTGGGGGGGGGGGTACAGGTGGGAGGGCCACAACCCGGCACGAAACGGGACCTACCTCAACAACCAGGCCGAAGGGCTGGAGGCGCGGTTCAGGTGCTAGCTTGCCTTGCAAGCTCCAGGCCCTGTCCTGGTCCTCAGTCCTGCTCAAAAAGGAGGCTCGTGCGGTCACCCCAGCTACTCAGGAGGCTGACATCTGAGGATCACAGTACAAAGCCAGCTGGAGCAGAAAAGTGGTGAACCTCTTACCTCCAATAAACTGCTCAGAAAAAGCTGGAAGTGGCACTGTGCCTCAAGTAGTAGAGCACTAGCCTTGAGCAAAAAGAGTCTCTGGCCCTGAGTTCAAGCCCCAAGCCCGGCAAAACAATAACGGGCTGGGAAGGTGGCTCAGTGGTAGAGCGCTTGCCTCGCATGCATGAGGCCCTGGGTTTGATTCCTCAGCACCACATAAGCAAAAAGAAAAAAGCTGGAAGTGGCGCTGTGGCTCAAGTGGTAGAGAGCTAGCCTTGAGCTGAAGAGCTGAGGGACAGTGCCCAGGCCCAGTTCAGGTCCTATCACCCGACCAAAAAAAAAGAGGAGCACTAGTCCCCGGCACAGGGGCTCCATCCTCAAGACCTTCCAAAGAACCCCTTCTGATACCCTCACCTTCAGGGCTAGGGAATCAACAACTGCACTTTGCCAGTCCATTGTG